GGAGATCTCATCACATCGTTTGCACCTGTTAAAAAGAAGCGTCAGCTCAATAGTAATAGGAGGGCGATCATTTTAGCTCGCTAAGAGCGTGCGTTATCGCATACTTCGACAACTTGGGCCGTTATTCTTGTGGGAAATGGTGTGTATGTGATGTCATTGTAGGTTTCTTGGCCAACCGAGTGACTGATGATCGTATTGAGAACTTCGGTCAAGCTAAGCGCACCTTGCAGAAGAGACTTTCGGAATTCTCGGAATCCCCTCAAGATGAGGATATCAGGAATGAGTTTAAGTCAGAGGCATCGCCTGCTAAGAAGGCCAAGAAGGATATTCCGGAAGGCGTTCCTAAGAGTAGTAGTAGTAGTAGTAGTAGTAGTAGTAGTAGTAGTAGTAGTAGTAGTAGTAGCAGAGGCTGTGCCGTGCTGTTCACCGTGTGCTTGTTTAGGTGTCTATAGACAAATGAAGGAGTTCTTGCCCACTTTTGATGCGCATGTATCCAAGGTTGAGAAGATCTTTGATCTCAGTCGGGAGCTATTCACGAAGGAACTGGTATGTGACGATAGCTGATCTCTTTTTTCTGTGTTCCTGTGCAATGAAGCCTCGTTTGTTCTCAGCTTAGCAAGGCGGATGTGCAGAAGAGCGATCTGGCGTGGGAGTTATGCGAGTGGTTGAAGCAGGGGTAGTACTGTGCTGTCTCTTATTCGACCCCGAGAACTTACTGGGATCGTCTTGTTAGAGCCCGAGTTGGTCATAAGTGTACGAAGCCGAATATGGATCCTGTGTTCTCTTCCCGAATCATCCTTGACCTTGGCCGACAGTAAGTCAGGTGCTCGTGGGATCTTTTGATACTATGTGTTTTAGGTTTACGACTTGCCCTGTAGCCACCCGCACATACAAGGTCCACGACTTCGCCTCGCGTCTTGTCATCGTTATCGGTCTCCTTCGCCTCTTCCAGGTGGGTATTGGTAACCTGTTGTCCTAGAAATGTCGGGTACGGTCTAGGTGATTGTTCTCATTATTATTATTTTTCTTGTTGCTGTTATTATTGTTAGTGTATTTGTTGGTGTTATCAAGGCAACTTGAAAGTTTCATCCCTTCAGTTACGTCGAGAGAATCGTCTCTCATTCGATGAGACCAACACTTGGGGAGTTCCCGTCCCGGTAAGTGGTTGCTTTGCGGCAATGAGGACTATCTCTGGAGATATGCAATTCGGAGGTTGAATGTAACTTTATTCCTTCCAGCTCGCAAACTCCCTGTGGTACATCTTCAACGGTGAGAACCCGAGCGTGAAGAGAATGTCTGGTAGTACATCGCCTTTGCTGATTGATATTAATCATCCCTCTACTGTTCAGTGACCAGCAACTACAAGCTCTGCTGCTACTTGATTATCTCGATACTGGCACTAGCACAGGCTCCGGCTTGGTCGTTCGAGTGAGTGGAGTACGTTTATGGTAATCGTGGTGATGGTGACTCTCGTTAGGTTCTGTCACCTTTGCGAGGACGTCCCCACTATGAAGGATAAGGAGCTCTTCCAGGTCATTCACTATCACTGTCGATGATATATACGGGTTGTTGTTGTTAGACTCTGTGCTTCTGTGGCATCAAGGTGTCGGGAGGGATGGAGAAGCTTCGAGGGAAGTTGACGGCACCGTTACGCCCGATAATGTTGAATCAAGGTAATATAACAGGCTAGTGGAGTATGCGATAGGTGTCGGCTTCAGGTGGGGCTAGACGGAGGCCTTGAATGAAGGGATAGGAGCAAATCACGTTAACGTCTTTCTACGGAAACATTTACCACTCAAGCTAGGTTGGTTCAGTGTTTGTGTAGTTGAGTTGTCAATGTTGTCGGTGCACTGCGCATCGTCGGACGGTTTAGTTCGGATAGAGTATGTCTATATTAGTAAGAACGTGATAATAGTAATACGGGGTGATTCCTGAGAGCTTCATATGGATTATATATGTGCTTTCTTCCTGCTGGGTGTCTCCTATCCCACGTTCGACGTCTCTCGAGCCGTTTAGAGCGATGGCTCGTAGATCCTCTCCTACTCCATCTCGCAGGAGATCCAGTGATATGAGTCAATTCTCTCGAGAATCCGAAGCATTGACCCATTCCGTGGCTTTGGGGGCCTTTCCAGACCTGATGTATAGGTGGAGATCGTGGGCCGGTGAAGGTCGATCCGAAATTGGTCACACAATGAGCACTTAACCCCTCTTGCTGATGTGACCTCCGATATGTCGAGCCTGAACTTGAGTTACAGTACATCGACGCGTCCCATGTTGATCACTCTTTTCCGTCCTTGAGAGAACTTTTGATGTACTGGTTACTGCCTCGTACTGTGAACACCGAGGAATGACTTGTGTTCAGTCGTGGTGGCTCACCGGAGGTAAATCAGTATAGTTCAACTTCAGTTTCGCTGTTAACGGGACGAAGCGGGACAATGGGTAATAAAGCAGTAATAATCGCAAATACCAGGAGCGGGGATCGAACCCGCGACCTTCTGCGTGTAAGGCAGACGTCATAACCACTAGACTATCCCGGCTATAAAACAGATTGTGTGCTGTAATCGCTTGTGTGTGAATCTCGGCCTTGTAATTACGAAGCGTGGCTGAAGGCATCAACGCAAGCATACAGTGGAGGGACAATGTAATCTAATTACTTTTTGTCATGCTCGCTCTTCGGGTGTCATACACTTGCACTGAACGACCGTAGAAATGAGCGCTCGCCCGATGGCTTGCGACAAGCAAATCAGTTATCATCTTCATATCGCAACCAAAGAATAAGATGTTCCTTTTCTGCATGTTTAGCAGATCAGTGCGTTGCCTGCTATTACGCTTGTGAAAGTTTCTTCTCAAATTTGTGCGAGCGCTTCCGCACAATAATCTCAGGTTGATTCGAACCAGGCTGACTTTTCCAGGAAAAGTTTTCCTGGGACTCGAATTGATGGATCTAGTTGCATTGGTTTCTCCTCCCATCTGCATATGGCAACTCGCCCGGAGCATATAGCCCCACCTGAATTCTTCTATGATGAAGGAACGGCCGAGAAGTAGTGCGATGCTTCAACATTACCCTCATCATTGTTTGTTCGACCCGCGACCTGATTGCAACACATATGTCGATCGCTGTCTGAATGGTCGTTTGCTCAGATACGCCGCGAACAGCTGTATGATCGACGTCCAGAGTAAGATGACGAGTTGATGATGTTGAGTGATGACCAACCCAGCTTGGTGAGCGCACATCGGCTTAGTGCTCTCGAGTCGGTATTCCGGGTGTTGTATGTATGCACAGGTTCTTGGTGTCGGAGTATGTTCAGGAATCTCAGAAGTTGTCCTCAGAGAACACTGACATTTCTTCGTTGATATGGGTGCATCATCAGCTATGCCAAACGTGGCTCTGTTAGGTTACTGGGTTCTCATTGTTATCGTGAAAAGGAGTATTTCTAAAGGTGGGAGTTATGGAAGGAAAGCGTTTGTCCAACAGTTGTGTTTAGGTCGATGGAAGTGGAGAATTCCTCCAGGGAGACATGGGCTCTACAATGGCTGTATAACTCTGATGTCAAAGGTGATGATCTTGGGTTCGATGATGCTTGTAGGTCACGAGCCGTATCGGCGACTACAGGAACTTTTCCCAGGTCTTGTTCAATTGACTGAAAGAAGGCTGGAGGGCAGTACTACAGTTTTATCCCAAAAACGAGGAACAGGTAGAAGGGTCTAGTAGATCGACGAGAGCTCATAGAGGGTTCATGGTCAGGTCGAGATGTTCACAAGTGCTGCTATGCGCTCGGGCTTTGGCAGCGGCGGTCTTGTGGTGGACTTCCCTCATTCTTCGAAGGCCGAGAACCACTTCCTTGTACTATATGCTGATAGTAGAGGGTGGCAATATATAGTGTCACGTATATTATCGACAGTGTGGTTTGCGCTCACTATATAAGTACCGCAGGTTGACGGCTACTGAAGCGTTCGGTGCTTCCTGATTGGAGATGAACATAGATAGGTATTACGTTAACCTCTACCTTATGATATACACATTGTGGTCACATATACATATTTATAATATATTCAAACCATATACAAATGATTACTAGACATTGTATACTGTATGAGACAACTTTGGTGGTATTCCGTGTAGGTTCCAACGCCACGGTGCCGCAAGGCCTGATGGGTACTGCTGATGGGAAAGCGATGGTTGAGGGTGATTCGGCAGTGCGGAATGCTGGGAGAGTGAGCAGGAATAGAGGCCTGAGGAGGCGGGACCGGCTACACGAAGGAAGAGTAGTAGAGATGAGCATCAACTCTGATGGTGGTTTCATCCGGTTAGTCATGGCACTTCAGACAGCAGTGAAGGCACGCAGTTGGACCCAGGAGGAGGAGGAACGACATCGTGCTCAGGGCCGTGATGTAGAGCATGACTCAAAGTGATTCCCATGCGGTCATTACTCTCACTGACCTCTGACCCTTGGTTCTGAGCTGTGTGTATTACATGTCCTCCCTATTACGTTGATATCCTCCGATAGTTTCCACTGATCTTCGTAGCTGTTTATTCTGATCGATTTTGGGTGCGTACGTTGGTGCTCGATAGCTGCTTGTTTCATCCTTTTTCTGCTCATGCCATCCCAGGGTAGTTTGTGTGCTACCCGTTGTAGTCCTAGGCTGCTCAGCCTGGCTGCAAGAGGAGGCAAAACTACCAGCAAGAAAGCTGTCGTCACTTCTCGTAAAAGTGTCGGGAATGTTCGGGCGCGCAAGAAGTCTCCGAAACGCAAGCTGGGTGGGTCGAAAAAAGCCCTTCCTCGTAAAGTGAGGAAGGCGCGTAAAGTGTCCCCACCTGGTCCGCTTGAGGCAGCATCAAGCACTGACAGACTAGTCGCTCCTAGTCTGGTGATGAGGAGGTCCAAGCGGTCTACTGCCTGTGAACCCATTGAGGGGCGCGTCGTTGAGGTGATTCGGGATAGTCAGTCGGGCTTACTGAACAGGCCTGAGTCAGCTGTGCGCGCTTCCGGAGGTTGTTGTAGTTGGCGTTCTTGAGCTTTTTTTTATTTGGGGGGCCTACATTAATCGCCTCAGTAATTGTGGAATATAATTGTTGTCATTAGGATGGATGTATTTATTGCTAGCGGTGTTGTAGCGTATTGAAGCGCGTCGTTTTATGAAGCTGAAGGTTGTGGGTCAAATCCCGTCTGGATTGTTTAGCTGATTAGTGTCCCACTCGAGGCATCAGTAGAGTTCAGGGAGTTACATCCTGTTATTGCTGAAGTCATTTCAGATCTGCCCCACGACGGGGGTAATGAGATTGAGGAGCTGTGAAGCGCCAACCAGACGCAGTCGAAGGCTCATCGGTACTGCGCGCCCAGAGGAGGTGAATACTGCCTCTAGGCAACTTTATTTGGTAGGTGACAAGCGGTCGTTGGTGAGTGGGATTTTCTCTGCTTGGTAGGTCCATGAAGTTGTCGTGGATTACAGGAGGTGCCTTGGTTATGGATTGTTTATGAAGGACTTCCCCTCATGTGAGATGAAGATACTTTTTGAGCGCAGCTTTTTCCCTGGGAGCAGCATGCATGGTGCTACTTTATGCGTAGGGGGGAGGGTACATCATTCGAAACGGTATGGTTGGTGTAGGTGTTTGAGGAGGAGAAGGAGGAGGCGAGCAAGACACGACCGGTCGTCCTTGCTTCATGTCTCTACCGTTATGACTCGGTCACTAGAGATGCAATGATTTTGCTCTTCGCCACTGCCGACGAAGTCAAATTTAAGAGAAGTACGGGCAGCTGACGCTGTTTTGTTAGAGTAGAGCTGAGCTCTTAGGTCGTACTAGTTTCTCGTGTCGAGGACAGGGCTTTGGCCGCCTCCTCGACCACATGCTGTGCGTATGGTTGAGGGAGCACCGGGAGTGTCGATCTGTTTACGTTGAGATGCTAGATGAGTCAGTGACGAAGTTTTGGGCTAAACTCGGGTGAGAGGTTTACCACTTCCTTTCCTTCACTGCGGTGACTGGGGAGCTCTTAGGTACGACAGATTGAGCAGTCGCATTGACCTTAGTCAGACTACCCGAGGGTTCGATGGGACGGAGTTGGCCCGCAAGAAGCTGGGCTCATGAGGTCCCGCGTCAGTTGGTTTTTCCGCAGTTTCCTCCATGACGGTTCGATCGTGCGCTGTGGGGAGCCTTAGAGTTGACTCATTTTAATTCATGCGGATCATTTTGTTGTTCCTATTGCCCATAATACCCGTCCCGGGAATTGAGCCCAGGATCTATATAGTGACTCAGATGACTGGTACTGTTGTAGTATCAGGTCTACTACCATTGACGCTTTTTGACGACTAGTGCTAATTTGTAGAGTATGTTAGACTTAGACACATTTAGTATACTTCAAGCCGAAAAAATACCTCTGTCGTGATCACCACCCTTGTCCTTGTGTTGGCATGGGGGAACTCCTCACGGCAGGTAGCATGTGATTGGTCTCTATGGTGAGAGGTGGAAGGTTCTTCGGCGGAGAAGTTTTCAATCCGAAGTTCATCTGTATGCAGATATTGGCCCTGCAGGTGAGGACCAGTCTTCTTTTCTTGCTGATTTGAGCTTCAGGGCTGCTACTTTTTACTCCTGGGCCGGTATGCGGATCCTGATCCACGCGTGATCCTGAGAGAAAAATCACGTCATAAGATCAATGTGATGATTTTATGACATGAACCGGATCTTTTTTCTCGGATCAACAAAATTGGGATCATGGAACAGGATCATAGATCATTCTCGTAATCTGTAGATCACATCACCCATGATCCTGTCAGTTTTGGATTGGGATCGTAGGTCAGCAGAGAAGTTGGCATATCATGAGTGATCCGATCACTTAACAACTAGTAAGACATACGATCAAGGATTGCGCAGAAGCGAAACCAACAGAGAGCGTCACCCAAGAATCGAACCTGGTTAATTCGGATGAAGACCAGTCTCTCATCCGATCTGCCAATTATCCTGGACGATCTTTTGTAGGAATAACTAAGTGGAGTTGAAGACCGGCGTGTAATAAGCTCGAGACGCGACGTTTTAGATGCCTTGTAAGATATTGAGGGACAATATTGAATTCTAGTAATGGTTTCAAAGGGCGTTAAGCTACGATAATTAGTTTTTGGCTTTAAACGTAGCCTTAAATGAGTTTCACGAACGGCCATGCAGTGGTCGAATTCCATTCTTCGAATGTACCTCGTACATAGTACGGAGGCTACGTACGAATTTATGAATCTCCTCGGTTACTAAGGCTCAGTATACACTTACAAGTGAGTCTCTATACCACAGAGTATGTGTGGAACATTTTGAAGGGGTCAGGATCACGGATCACGAGTAGTGTAACGTAGCAAAAGAGCCCCGTTACAGGATCACTGTATCTTAACACGTAAAGTACCACTGATCCGTAAACTGCTCCTTTTGTGGATCAGAATTTTGATCCAATACTTGATCCGGATCAGATGGTGATCCCTCGGGACCGAACGGATCACGGATCAACGTAATTTCTCAACTCGTCCGAGAATTTCTCAACTCCTTGATCTCTGGATCACGGATCAAGTTTTTTCTCAAGAATCATAGATCAGGATCAAAAATGAGGTTTACGCGAGATCTAGATCACAGATCACGGATCAATATCAAAGTTCAGGGATCAAGATCAACGGTCCAGGATCAGGATCAAAGATCATGGATCAAGATCAAGCATCACAGATCTGACTCACGCATCTCGGATCGCGAAAGATTCAGCTCAGACGTCTAGATCAACGAGTGATCTGGATCATGTGCTTGATCTGTGGATCAGGATCCGCATACCGGCCCTGGTCGCGGGTGTGTGTACTCTCAACCAACTCTACGGTGTGCCTGTGGCTTTAGTAGTGCCCCTGGGGTACCTGCTGTTGAACAGGACCGTACTTGTCAGATGACGACGTCGGCTTCGCCGATACAGAGAGTTCGATCGTGACCGGAGTTTTGGTTTTCATAAGCCATTGATGTGAGCTTCTTTCTAACGGCGGTGATCTGTTATGGGCATTCCTAGGTCCCTTGTACTGAGCTATATTGTGAAGCGTGCGAAGGAGTGCCTCGACTTCGTGGTAACAGACCACGTATGGCATTTGGCCTCGATGTGGGTAGAGATGGGCCGTCTGGCTGGCTTGCCTTAGTGTTATGGTGGCTATGGCACACCACGGCTGCGACTGTAACGGTGCTGCTAGCTGAGTAAGGCTCCGGTATATGTCTTTGAATCGCGGGGGTGTCGTCGGATATCTATGCATGCAGCTGGAGACTCGTGAGATCTCATTAGGGGGAGGCAACGAAGTGCTGGAGCGGGGAGAAGTTGGCAAGTCGAAACGCACTGAAGATGAACCTCCGGCAGAGGTGGACTGTATTTAATTAATGTGAACTACCAGTGTGATAAACAACTTGTGTAGTAATAGTAACATTAAGCTGGTGACGATTTTAGTTGAGTGATCACTGCGTGGGTCGGTCAGGGGAGTTCCTGCTATCGGTCTGAATCGATTCTCACGATGTATTGTTCGTACAGTGTTACAGTAGGTCTCCTTCCCCGTAGTAGCAAATGAGTGCACTGAAGCTTGGCACGATCGGGGTCGGGCTGAGTACCACTATATGTCTGTGAGCTGGGATGGTCATTGCCTTTTACCATGTATGCTATCGACCCTCAGGTGGGACTGTTATTATCAGGAGGATCGGGCGAGTTGTCATTCGTATAAAGACGCTATAAAGCAGTGGTGGGCAGTGAGGGGAGCTCAAGTGGGGCCAGTTGTTGTCATACCACGCTCGGGCGAAATCTGGATTCTTTAGTGTCTTGGATTTGTGGCGTCGAAACTCTTCTATTTGGAGTGTCGAGATTTCGCCAAAACACAGGAAAAGATGCGCTTACTGAACGGCAAGTCGAATAGTGTAGATGCGGAGGACTATGAGAACATCTCAAAGATTCGGTGGATGCGACGAGGGTAAGTGTACGCTAAGGGCTGTGTACGATACCGGTGATAGCCTCAACACACAGTAGTCGTTATTCCGATGCTCATCTTTTTCTATCAGGTGGATGTTGATGGACAAGTGGAGGTATTGGAGGAATCTCGGCCTAGTGTGAGTAGTCTGCTGAGTTGCGATGCGAAGCAGGGACACATTCCACTTCGAAAGATAACGTTCCCCAGGGTGTGATGACAATGAGGAAAATGTTCCTAGCCATGTGGGAAATTCAAAATGAGTTCCTCCCGGGGAACATTGAAGGTTCCTGGATGATTCCCCGATGCAAAGCCGCTGGTCCTACTAAAGCGTTTATATATCATCTAAGGTTCGACAATATCGATCGGCGATATCCTCGTGCCGTGAGTCACCTACGTCGAATAGCGTTGGTGCCTGGGGGCTCGCGGCTGTATATCAGCTGTGAGAAGAACCCGTCGAGCTGGCTCTATACGGAGCCGATATCATCACGGTTCATTCAAGATGGTGGGGCAAACCACGCATGGGCCCCTGGTGAGCGTTGCTCTTTCAGAGGAAGTGCGTGAGTACGTACGGGCGGTTTGTGCTTGCCGCGATGAGAATTTGGCGATCATACAAGGGAGCCCTCGGGGGGCTTTGGAGCTCTTCGACAACTTGATCAAAGAGAAGAAGCGCTTGATACAGGTAAAGCGACTTGAGGGTGTCTGTGATAGAGCGTTTTCCTGTCAGGACATTCGAAATTGCCGCCTTTTCGACAGAGAACGGAAGCCGGTGTTATCGAAAGTTGTAGGTTTAGTAGTCGAGATGCTGCGTATTGTGTGTTGGTATCAGTTGCGAGCCGAGATCGAATCCCACGGCTTGTATTTGGCAGCACCCAAGCGGGCTAGGCTGATGAATTTGACGATACCACATAAGCCTGGGGTCTGTCTAGAAGGCATTCTCTCGTGTAGCTTAGTTTCGGACAGGACCCCGAGAAGCCCCTGAAGTTGGACTTGCTCTTCCCCAAGTTGTCTCTGCTGATAGACACGTCGATTGTCGAGGATAGGGAGGCTATGGAGAGGTTTATGTCCATGACTGAACAACGGGTGTGGAATGGCTGTTTTGAAACCTGTGTGCGATATCGCACTGTTTTAGGCACCGGTTTATGCCCCCTTCCTCTTCACTGGTAGCGAGCTTTTCCCGGAGTACATCGTCGGCATCAACTTATCCGATCAATGGCGTCAATTTGTGATGGACCCATCGCTAGGAGAGTAGGGCATCTCGTCTCAGGGTTGGCTCATGTTAATACGCTGTACAATATTGATGTGAAGATACATATTCCGGAAGGCTGACAATGACGAGATTGTTCAATACAGCGAGCTCGTCCCTGGTAGCTCGTACAGAGTAACACTGAAGTGGTGGAAAGCTAAACTTGGCCATCTAGCAGAAAGAGACCTGCCTTTCGTAGGGTTCATATCTCCTGTTCGGTAGGGCCCTGTGATGCCTCAGGTCTTGCGTATTGTTGGCTTCACGGAGAGTCCCTTGGGGGACCACTGTGGAGCGCCTATTGTTGAAGTCGTGTCGGATTCAAGAGAAGTGGGTGAACCGAGTGCTGCACAGCTCTGATGTCACGTTACACGATGTTAGCGAGGTGTGGTTTCCGTATGCATCATTGATTTTCGTTCATTCAGTACTGGTTTAATTAGCCAGTGTCGACACTTTCGACCGATTATGGGATGTTAAGCTTCCCGTGAGCATCGTAGTCGCTCCTCTCGCTGCCTCGAAATGGTCTCGAGTCGAAGGCCTGGCGATGGTATGGAGAGTTCACGGTGTGAGAGAAGAACTTTCTGTAGGATATACAAGGCGGTGGGTACGCTATCTCGCCTAGGCTGTGATTTCGTCGATTCCGTTGGTGATGGGATCGGTCATTGGAGCTCGCAAACACGTTGATACACAGGCGAACCTAACAAGTGACCACTTGGAAATAACCTACTACAAGCTGACTGCTGTCAGCCGTGGGTTCGAATCGGCATTGAATGAGTCAGCTCGGCTTGCCCACCGACAAGGAGGTGACCCTTAGGCCCTTCTGAGAGAATAACATTCCACTGCAGGGTATGAATGAACACGCATGTACAAGCTATTGCATGGGAGCAATCCCCTTTCCAGTACCATCAGGACTCTAAGCATGTCGTGGACGCACTGTAAGTATGTTAGATACTTATGTTCGAGGAGGTGGACAAGGACTACTTTCTAAGGCATAACAAGAAGGTTGACGACGAGCCCGTAGGACGGGTACAAGCCAGGGGTAAGGGTGTAGTGGTCATGGTCATTTTCAACGGTAACGGAGGAGAAAATGAAAGTTTACAAGTATGTTGTTGATGACTCTATTGTAAGAGTTATTCAATGAGGTCTGTGAGACATGTGTTTCGGGTAACTAGCAGTGTTGTGTTCGTAAGTGATGGTGTAGAAGAAGCTGTTCTATTCTATAAAAGTAACAGCATACAGTTCAAAAACATTACAACCTTCCAGAAACATCTGACGGCCTGCATTCACTAAGCCTACGAACACTATGCTTATACGACCTACGCGCTCTTCTCATGCCATAGCCTCAACGGCAAAATGACGATGTTCAGCGATCGGGGGCGCTCCTACTGTGGCTGATGGCAAAAACACTATCGCTTGCCTCGCTGGCGGAAACGTATTCCTATCATGCTGTAGCTACCACTATGGTATGAAAGTTGATGGTCATGAAATCTTCACTGTTCCAATCCACAGAGAGCGAATTCGACTTCACCAATGACCCTGGGAATCACGTGATATGCTATCTCTCACCACAGAACCTCGAAAACAACAGCGAGAGAAGAGTTGGGCGTTTCGAGGCAAACTGAAACCTCAGAGATGTACATCCCGAACCGTTCGTGTTAACCCTCGGGCTGATTTTCATAGAGGAAATTCTCCTTTGTTGTCTTTTCTTGCTGTTCCGAAGGTGCCGACAAGCTCCACGAAAGACTCGAACGAAACAGTCACCGTATTCTCAGAGCACGGCGATCGACTGGTGCCTCAGTGTGACCATGTGCCCACGTGCTAAGATAGAGTGCACGGAAACTTTAGTATGTGTCAAGCGGAAAGTCTTCGTTGTCGAATCCTGAGCTCGACCTGGGGGGCTGCAGTTTCGGCACAGTCGATGCTGCTGACGAAAGACCCCCTGCACGCATGCGCACCTATCACATGGCTGCGGAATCCGGGAGAGCGGTAATCTCGTGATCATCATCCTCGAATCGCGAATCAACAGCTCGACATATTCCCAGTTCTCACGGTGAGAATCTCACCTGGAAGTCTCCATGCCGGCGTTGAGCATCTCCACCGTCATCAAAATCGTAATCGAGAGACTCCTCAGAGTCGCTACCTATATTGTGATGAACCTATCATCGCTCAATGAACCGCTACAGTACCACATTATCACTTACAGCGTGAATGTCCCCTTTTTTCGAACGCCCAACGTTAGCACAGTATTTATCTAGTGAAGGCGCATCCCCGACTCTGGGGGCGAGCATGTACTAGGACGTGGTCAGCGACCCTACTCATCATCCTCATTATCGCTCATGTATCCTACCGCTTCCTCGCCAGCTCTGGCCAAGGTGGCATACTTAACATACCTGCGCATCACCGCGCGACTTTGCAAGCCACATCGGACGCACCTCAGAGTTTCGAAGCCACCATTGCTGCCCGGTCCAGAAGAGGCATGATTCAGACCAATGAGCACGATGATGAAAAACACGACGAGACCAACCGCTACCCAGGCCGCTGAATATAAACTCTAACCGTCAGCGCCGACCGTTTCTGGCGATACCTTTAGAGAGCGGACTAGAGCTAGGGCACGGCACCTGGGCCTGGGCTGGAACGAAACCACCTTCACAAGTATCGCCGGGGACTCTACGATAGGCGTCCGCAAAGTATGCACTCGAGGATGTGCATTCCATCTCTTCTGGTGTTAACACCTACTGTGGGCATCAGCGTCGACCAACAAGCATTCAGGTAAGCTCAGACCGTCAGGCTACCACTGCTGTTACCGCGTCAACATCGACTGGCTTGCATTCAGTTTCACCCAACGTCCTCGCGAAGCCTAACGCGCAATGATAGTCCTCAAAGGTGCATGGACAGTTGTTCTTGAAGACGGGCCTTTCAAACGTTTCACCTAAGCTCTGCATTGCTCAGTGCGCCATTAGCGGCGCTTACCATTGAAACACTTTGCATGTGGCTTTCGGCGGACATAACTGGTGATGCGCCCGAGAAGGCATGAGTCACTGGAGACTCTGAGGAAGTGGTAGATAAGGACAGAGCATCGAGTTGCGATTGCACTCACATGCCAGCGCTGGGAATCCAGGTTTCGTAGTCGGTCGATGGGCCATCAGGAGCCCAATAGCCGCTACATATTCTTGGCAGAATCGTCGAAAAGTCGAGATGATAGAGTACACCTGTGTGGAGGTATCGGGTGGGGCCATCCCGTGATTTTCACCCTGGTAGTCTCGCGTGCCGTATACGACGAATTTGGTCGATGCCGCTGAGTCCGATGTGAGAATGTTGGTAACGTGGAAAGGCTCTGCGCCCAGGTCGAAGTCATACCTTCGGAAATCGTCAGACCTCAGTGTCGGCTGCAACAGGATGAGATTCAGTGGTGAGGCGGTTGATTCGCAGATTTGTGTCGATCAATGTCCTATGTAGTGTCGGTACCAGTCAGACCCCTCGGTCCATGAGAAAACAACACTGTTAGTTTTTCGAGTTGCATCTGCCATCACTATCAAGGCTCCGTGGTCACCAATCTCATAGGAGTATGAGCCTTGGGAGAAAGGCGATGACAAGCTACTATGATGGCCTGGACTCACCCGCATGGACCTCTTGCCATGTGAGGCCGCCATCACGGGAAAGATACGTGTTGATCTCATCTTGTTCATACCGTAAATAGGGACCAATATTGCCTACAGCAACCACCTCGCTCAAGTTCAGACACTAACGCAGTGGAAAGGCGTCACCCATAGCTAGAATGATCCCAACTGCTGCTTCCGTTGCATATATGGGCATCGATACAACTTCACTGGAAACGACATGTAAATGTACTGAGCATCTGAATAACTCGCGGTATCGCAAAATCAGAAGTTCATGGGAGATTTTCACTTTGCCTTAGGGCATTCTATTGGACGCCCTTCATGATCGTCTTGTGGAGGGTCGAGATAAGTCCACATGCCCCCGTTGTCGAAGCTGATGACTGTCCCTGGCAAACTTGATGGACGACTACGACGAAGCAGAGCATACTTATATAGTCCTCATCTCTCGAAGGCTTCACTGATCCATGATGGCCCTGGAACTCGATACCCTCCTGAAAAGGGGTCCTCCAGATAGCGGCCGCTCCCGAATGACCAACCACAGGTTCGTCGCCCACGAGCTCGCCTTCTTCCTCGGAGAAGGCCACGAGAGGGTCATCGACATAGTTGGCTATATAAACACCGTCCATTGACACGATACGTTCTATGGCCACTTCGCCGTCCTCGTTGCTTGCCTGAACCGCACGATTGCCTTTACAGTGATTGGCCGAGAGTAGCATGGACAGTCGAGGCAATCATCTCTCCCCTGCTTACCACATTGGGCAAGCTAAGAGAGAATAGTGTTCCCGTTGCATCGCTTGCGTAGATGTTGCCAACCTCTCGACCGTTTTTCCACCCGTGATGGACGTGGAGCATGACAAAACCTGTGACTGCAATGAATGCAATGTGAAGGTCTAGGTAGGGCACCGTGGGCGGCGTCGAGAATCGTGTAGCTGTGTTGTTCAAGTGCCACGGGGATCCTCGCTGTAGCGAACGATTTCGCGCCGTTGGCTGATACTTCCAACCGAACGGTGTTGCCTGAGACCTCTTCCTCTGTGAACACTCCGCGGAAGGACCTCACTGCCGGGCACGGCTTCAGCCACGAAGAGGTAGTCCTTGGTCATCACAAACTTGTTGCCACCAGGTATGAGAGTATTGACCGATTGCCCTAAGGAGAGACCGGTCATGGTACTGTCAATGCTCGTGCGTTGTGAGTTTCAAATTCGAAATCGGGCGGCTTCCATTTCGAATCGAGCGCTACCGTTGTCATCAGTGCACGCAAAGTCGATGTCTGAGAACCATCCGTGGAGATGTGGTTGGTCTCCAGACTTCTTCCTGAAACCTCCGGTATCGCCTTCGTATGCGAAAGAAGTCAATTGAGACAAACAGGGAACAGCTCGTTCACGGCTATAGACTGGAATGACTCGGATCAAGCGAGAAAACCTTTGTGTCGTGATGGAACTTTTTCTTCGATAACGTCTGGTTTTCTCAGTCGACCTCAAGAGCTTCCTCGGTACATTATGAAGATTTACACATAACTTTGAAGAAAAATGTACCAAAACCAACGAAAATTTTCCACAATTTTCATTTTCCCATAGATGCGAGTTGAGATGAGCTCTTGCCCTGTGATCTCACTTGTGATGTGTGAAATATATCCTATTGGCAGATCCGAACTTGGTAGATCCCCAACTGAACTGGACCACATATGATGCTACTATAGAGAAAGTCTTGCCACCGTCCTGAGGAAATGATCCTCGCTCAGCTGTTCGTTGATGGATTTTACACTGGTGCGGTAGAGAGCGTGCTGGCAGGCATTATTAGGATCTCGCTCATGCGTGTGGAGATCGCAGGATTTGCTCCAGGATGATACGAGAGCCGACCTGGTGAAGGGATGGGAGATTCGACAGAGGTCATCGATGTGATCTGGTTCGACTTTGGGTCAGTTGGGTGGAACAAGTACGTATGGAGGCCATGGTGTTTGATAAACCTCCACGACTTGCCTGAATCCTCACTGAGGTAGTGCACCTGTTGCGGCGGCTCTACAGTCGAGGCTTAGTGCTGTAATCTTACGTGCTTCACTCCTACTAGGAGAACGACTTTGTTATCGCTGGGATGCGGTTCAATCAGCTTTATTCGGTCGCTGTCAGCAGGCATCTCATTGACACCAGTTGTTCGCCTGAATACCGCAGTTTCTGTGCGAGTGTAGAGGAGTGGAAGCATCCGTCCAAAGGTCAGCTGAATTAACGAGTCTTACGTGATAGACTTTTGGCCGAGACCATCTGTTATTTTCTGCCAGGATAGGCCGGAGTCGGGCGACCTTGCAGGCCTCCAGCGTTAGGCTCAGGTTGCTCTCTCGACTTACCGATACACGTGTCCGTTCTCTGTCCGGAATAATATGACTTCTTGTTTTTCACCCAAGTACACGATATCGGCTATCGGACTGTCGGGCGACTGAAAGGTTATCAATCTCAACGTGTGCTGCTACTGCGATCGATCCAGCACGAAGTGAGTGGTCGAGGAAATACTAGCCGAGAGCGAGAGATTTGATATTGCACACGAGCCTGGTCAGTGACATTCGGACTGCAATGTAACTCCTAGGGAAAACATATCTTACCATATCTTGAATGGCGACCTTGGGGTCGCTCGCAGATGAGGCTTTACATCTAGAGACACCACAGAGATGGAAGATGAATACGAACAGCGATACGTCGAATAGCATATGGAGTGAGAAAGGAAACGAGTGGAATAGCTTCAGAGAACCTGCTCGGAATCATCACAGGTTCTAGTCCCACATCCGTCATTTTTTCCGTCAATATCGCTTGAAAATCTACATAATCTTCCACCAAGGAAGTATCCAATTACCTTCTGTTCATCGTCTGGAAAGGAGATAGAGCATGGGCTGATGTGACACCGAAGAATGCGGTTGCTCTCCTTCTATCGTTTACTGGTACATAGATATTTCTAAGACATCCGATAGACACATCTCACATATCTTGGGGTGATTCACAAAATCCACGGAAGAACGACGAAATCCAAGGAGGTTTGTCGCTCGCCCTCAGCAGTTCGGGTTTCTGGTTGCCTTGGGTAACAGCTTTCACCCGTGTAACAGCTCGGGTTTCCGGTTGCTTTGATAACAGCTTTCATCTGTATAGCAATTCGGAGTTCCGGTTGACTTGTCGGGTTTCGGGTGGGGTTTCGGGTTTACCCTTCAACTATTCTTCCTTGCATTTCGTATATCAACCCATATCTTGGCACACTTCTTGTCTGCATCTTCGACGTTTTTCCGTTTCATCTTTACTACCCGGATTTTCGAAAGTGCGATTGTTGCGACCATGTTGATCTTCCACCCAGCTTCGTTGCTTTCCAAATGGTATCACAGTCACTCATCGACCTCTTCGGAGATCATCTTGTTGTTGACGACGGACGCATGGTGGAAACAGCGTCTGCCCTGGAAGGTACCACCCGCCTCCATTCCCGTTATCTGCAGTCGATGTTATTCTGCTGTAGGTTGCACAGCAGTTGGGATTTACTTCTCGGCTCACTGGTGCCCACCTTGCCGACGATTTACTCCCGAATTGGCGCGTAACTATACCGAGCACTACGTCAAGAAGGGTCTTAAGATCGTCTTTGTTTCCTCTGACCGGTCCGAAGCGGCATTCAATGAGTACTTCAGTGAGATGCCGTGGTTGGCATTGCCTTTCAACGAACGTGGTATGAGAGATAAGCTATCGAAAAGGTCACAACACGTTGACCAGCACACGTGGAACTCTGTGTGGGTGCAGGTTCAAAGTGTCGGGCATTCCTATGCTCGTCCTTGTCAATCCGGAGGGTCAGACAATCACCACTGACGGTCGTGGTGCTGTCGCTGACGACCCAACAGGAGAGGACCTTCCTTGGATTCCAAAGCCGATCACTGAACTACTCCCAAGGAACTTCATCGATAACGACGGCAAGGAAATCGATAGAGAAAGTCTGGCAGG